CTGCCTGCCGCGTGCTTACGCTCTCCGCGCCCGGCACGCCCCGCGACTGGCGAGCATCCGGAGCACGCTGCAGACCCCGTCCTCACGCTCGCCGTCGCCGCCAGCGACACGCGAGCTGTGGACGCCGCACTCGTGGCGCACCTTCCCGATCCTGCAGCAGCCGGACTACCCGGACGCAGCGTCGCTTGCGCGTGTGGAGGCGCGTCTGGCGCAGAACCCGCCGCTGGTGTTCCCGGGGGAGATCCGCCGTCTGCGGAAGGCCCTGGGCAAGGCGGCGCGCGGCACGGCGTTCGTGCTGCAGGGCGGCGACTGCGCAGAGTCGTTCGACCACTTCTCGGCCTCCGCCATCGAGGCCACGTTCCGCGTCTTGGTGGCTCAGGTCATCGCCATCTCGTACCTGTCCGGCCTGCCGATCTGTAAGATCGGCCGTGTTGCGGGCCAGTTTGCAAAGCCCAGGTCTAGCCCGATGGAGAGCACGCCCAATGGGGAGATCCCCGTCTTCAGGGGCGATATCGTCAATTCGCCAGAGTCCACGCTGGAGGCGCGTACCCCCGATCCGGAAAGGCTTCTGAGGGCGTACTCGCAGTCGGCCGCGTCGCTTAACATGCTGCGCGCCCTGGCCAAGTCCAGTGAGACTATGCTGGATTGGGTCCGCCTCATCGACCGCCTCGCGCCGGAGAAGTACGCCGCCTTCGTCGAACAAATTGAAGACGCCTTAAACTTCCTCACTGCCTGTGGCTTGGATGTCACGTCTTCTACTGAGGGCCTTCAAAACCTGCGCGAGCCCGAATTTTACTCCTCGCATGAAGCCCTGCTTCTCTCCTACGAGTCGGCCCTTACGCGCCCGTACGAGGACCCGGAGACGGGTGAGACCTTGTGGTACAACTCCTCGGCCCATATGTTGTGGGTAGGAGAGAGAACCAGGCAGCTTGACGGAGCGCATGTCGAGTTCCTTCGAGGCGTCCAGAACGCCATTGGCGTTAAGGTCGGTCCGACGATGGAGCCTTCGGAACTGCTAAGCTTGATCGACACCTTGAACCCACGTAATGAAGAAGGCAAGATCATGCTCATCGTGCGCATGGGGTGTGACCGCATTGCCGACGGCCTCCCACAGCTTTTGCGCGCCGTCAAGAGGGAAGGGCGGTATGTCGTGTGGAGCATTGACCCGATGCATGGAAATACAATCAAGGTTGGCAATGGAATCAAGACGAGGCCGTTTGAGAAAATCCTTGCCGAGGTTGACGCCTTCTTCGCGGCCCACGAAGCGGAGGGAACCGTACCCGGGGGCGTGCATTTGGAGATGACTGGCGAGGAGCATGTCACTGAATGCCTCGGGGGAGATGTGAACGAAATCACCGAGGAGAGGTTAATGGAAAACTTCAAGAGCACTTGTGATCCGAGACTCAACGGGACGCAGTCCATTGAAATGGCGTTTGAAGTTGGGCATCGGCTTCGGAAGATTGCCAAAGAAGCTAGGCGAAAGCAGTCACATAGGTAGAACGTTTCGGATGTAGGTTGTTCCCCAGATGAGGCGCAGCCGGCATGTTACTTCCTCTGCAATAGTAAGAGTATTAGCAAGGGCTCTCTCTTTTTCAGTGAGTGCTTCGTTTTGCTCCTTTTCAATAGGTTGTTGTTCTACTCTGAGGCTCTTCCGTTTCCTTGCCTCCGTTCCCTCGGCCGGGCGTTTGGGTAGTTTGATGGGGCACCTTGCTCTTCCTTGCAAAGCTGGCCAGTACATGCCCTTCTCCATGGATCATTGCGTATGTGCCGTTGGTAGCAGGTCTTCTCAGGCTGTGTAGCGCAAGTACGGCAATCGCGGGCAGTCGGCGCAATCGACGTTCAGGCCTGCAGATATGAATTCAGATGAGCTCACCTGAGTGCTTCTCCGTGTGAAGTGTATCTACGGGGTATGCTGTTGCTTGCCGGGCATGTGTTCCCCAATGACGAATGAATTTTCGCAGAATCTCCGATGAATCTCGATTGCCATGCCATTTCTTAAGCCACACCATCAAATTCCAGTCTACCTGTGATCATACTTTGTCCCAGATCCGTGATCATCAAAACTGCTCCATGCACACCTTACACTTGGGTACTGAATCGCAGCCCCCATGCCTCCATTCCTCTGAGTGTGTCATCTCTCTGGATCCAGGGGTTGGACCTCAGAGTCAATAGCTCGCCATCTGTGACAACACGCTGTCGCTTGCTGACGGGGGCTATACCTACGGGACATCTCGGGCACAAGAGCTGTGGCGATGTGGGGGCCCGGGCGTGGACTGCTGGGCGCAGCGCTAGCCGCGGTCTCTACCAATGCCTACGTCACACGAGCAGAACCGATCAAAGACCCAGCAAGTGCTACGGACAAGCAAAAAATCGCAGACCTCGTCGCCCGAGCCAAGAAGGTCCTCGCTGACGGGAAAATCGTTGCGCAGACAGCACCTCGTCAAGCGCATGTCAGGGTTGATCCGGGGGAGGAGACCAGAGCTAGAGCGATCTTAGATCGCTACTATACCATATCTGCGGAGGCGGTGGCGGCCAACGTCACCACAACGGCATCGAACAAAGAATCAAAACCGCAGCCCTCAAAGAAAAAGAAACCTCGAACGCCGCCCAGTAGCATTTTTGAGGACTTCGATACAACTGCGATTTCTGGGCCGTGTTGTAAGAGGTACGTCATTTGTGGGGGCGGAACAGCCGCCTGGGCAGCAATAGAATCAATGCTTGAGATCGATCCGTCAGTCGCGAAGGATATCCTGCTTATTACGGATGAAGAGCATTATCCGTATAATCGCACTGTGCTATCGAAAGAGCTCTGGGATGATGACAAAAAGGAATTGTTTCGATCGGAACAAGCGTCAAAGGATGCCGTTGAATACGCCTACAAGGCACAGCCTCAAGGCAAGGTGTCAATTATTCGCGGAAAGCGCGTGTCCTTCTTAGACGTTGATGAGAAGCGTCTCACCTTGTCCGATAGTTCGAGCCTTCACTATGACAAGCTCTTGCTGGCTACAGGGGGATCGCCAAAGTCCCCGGGATACATCTCGGCTGCCCTAGCATCACCGGATCTTGCGGAGAATGTTAGCGTCTTCAGGACTTTGGAAGACTACAAGCGGTTACAACAGGGTCTCAAAAAGAAGGATTTGGGCGCTGTGGTTATCGGCGGAGGCTTCTTGGGGACGGAACTGGCAATAGCCCTGGCTTCGACGAGCCAGAAAGTATCTCTAGTCGTTGCGGAGGCGGGTGTTTTGTACAAAGTATTGCCGAGATACGTTTGTGAGTATCTTGCTCGTCGACTTTCAGAAGTTGGCGTTAATGTCATTCGAAGTGCAATCGTGACTGGTGCGTCAAAGAAGCCAGGCACAGCAGATGTCGTCACTCTTGATATCGTTAGCCCTGACGCCGATCATGTTGAAGGCAATAAGATCATCGTAGCGGTTGGGATTGATCCTGACGTCAGCCTAGCCATGGACGCCGACTTGGAGGTGGATGATAGGCTCGGAGGAATTCGCGTAAACGACTTCATGATGGTAGAACCTGATGTCTTCGCAGCTGGTGACGTTGCATCATTTCACGACAGAGGCCTCGGTCGTAGGCGAGTGGAACACTGGGATCATGCCGTTGTAAGTGGGCGAATAGCCGGGAAGAATATGATGGGACAGAAGGCCAGATATGGCCTTCAGTCAATGTTTTGGAGTGATTTGACAAACATCGGAGTTTCGTTTACGGCAGTAGGACTCGTTGACTCCACGTTGGAGACCCTTGCGGTATGGAACCTGTCATCTGCACCAGTGAACGGCGCCCCTTCCGCAAACAGTTACACTTCTGGTGTGGTTTATTTTGTGAAGAATTTTGAGATTGTTGGGGCTGTGCTATGGAATCCGAAGAAAGGCTCAGGGTCTCTGCGCAGAGCACGGGCGTTAATATCTGCCAAAACAAGCGTTTCTGGTCTGTCTCAAAATACGCTGGCTGGCTTGGTTAATCTAGAGGAATCCTCCCATCGGACGACGATACGGACCAACACCAAGTGAAAGCGGAGTTTGAACAAAGGCAATATCCAAGCCTCTCGAAAGATCAATCATGTCAACATTAATGTCATGAGAATGTTGAACGTGAGTGCTTTCGCTACTTGGGAAGGTAGCTTGAGAAGTTCCACGCAGTGCCGCCAAGGAACCATGGGAGTGAGCTACAGTCGAATGAGATCGGATCGTACGGCTTTCAATCTCGGCTGAGGCTTTCAATCTCGGCTGAGGCTCGCTGTGGACTACTGTGTCCAACTTGGTGAACTACAAGGCGAGAAAAGTAGAAAAATAGAACGGTGGAGGAACCAATGAAGCCTCAACCGGAGCCAGTCATGTCCTCCGTTGTATCTCACAGCAATCCCGAAAGCATTTAACGTCAGTCTGTGTGCCTGAATAAAATTTGTTTCTTGTTACCTGAAAAGATACAAGCTCTCACGGTCCATGACTTTTTTTTCACCGTCATGCATTAGGGGCTCTCTGTGTTGCGGCTCTTAGATGGACTTTCCACCCTGATTGTTATGTCACGTCGGCTTCCATGTTGATGAGTTGAGTTGGAGCTCGATTCGATTCGCTTGGATTTTATCATAGTTGTCTTGAATGGCCATCGCAACTATCTCCACGAGGGATTTACGTGCGAGAGGTGCAAACGGGTCACCAATGTCATTTGACGCTCCAACGTCATTTTCGATCCCGGTAGTCCAGGACAATTCCTTCAACAGCGCCGTGACTGTTGCTGTACTCATTTTTCGCTGTCGCGCTTCATCATAGAAACCTTCGTCGCGAAACAATTTCGAATATTTCTCTGGGTCAAACCTCCGGCACTCTTGCAAGCTCAAACGGTAGAAGACAGGTATCAGTATGGGCAGTACGGGAACAGATTCCTTCGGCTTTTCTGTTTCAGAGGCTTTTCGTTTCCTCGCTTGGAAGCATTCCAGCTCCTTCATGGTCCACCGCCGACATGCAAACTCTGGCGAAAGGATGAAAACTCCTATATCCGCAGTTTCCATGGCCGATGTCATCTTAGGCCTAGCATCATCTCCCGGCCTCAGACTAAATTTGTCCAAAAAACAACACATTCCCCGGCTGCAGAGATCGTTGTACAGCGGTCGGGCAAAATATAACTTGTCACCTCCCTTTCCTTTCTGTACTCCCGCATGGCTTATGAATACATCCACGGCCTTCATCCCAACCTCTTTAGAACTCCGTGGAATGACGGCCAATGCCTTCAATGCCTTAGGATCAGCTCGCCCATAATATTTCTCTATATCTGGCATCAGGTCTAAAAGCCTCCATGACTCGCCACATGGGGCAGGACATTCGCCTTCGAGGTACGGCAACCTCGCCTTTGTAGCGTTCTCGACCCAATCTCCGGGCATCTCAAACTTAGCCGTCCACTCTCCTCCGCACTTGTTTTTATTTGAGCGGCACTTCGTCCGCAGAAAGTGCTTCATAGGAAACTTCTTGCCACTGAGTGACATGCGTGAAAGCTCCTCCACCTCCGTCACACAACTCCGTGCAACACTCAAAGGGTCTTGCGCATACACTTTCCATTCTATACGTCGTTGCTGACTCACGAATAAAAACACAACTCGTCCAGATTCTTTTAACTCAATTTTCGCTTCCCAATCCGCAGCATTTGCACCCACGAACCCCACCTTTGGCCTAACCCTTCCTACCTTTTTGTGGAGATGGCTGATTAGGCAACCCATCAGACCGTGGGGAAATGCGTCCACAAATTCAGTAACTAACCGTACCTCCGACTCGTTAGGTCGGCTCGTACAGTCCTGCCAGTCGTCAGCTTCCTTCAACAGTGCTGGGATCGCAATCAAGTCTTCCGAAGTTCCTGAGGTGCCATCAGCGAATTGCACTCGCATGAGTATATCAACGCTGCATAAGGCATCGAGCATCATATCGCAAATTTCCTGCGAGTGTTCGTCCCACAATTTCTTCAGACCTTCCTTTGTCAACAGACCGTCACGTAAGGATAGTGCGTGTTTTTTAGGCAGACTTCTGCGCACTTTTTCTTCGGGTCCAGTCACGCGCCGTACGAAATCAAGCATGGCAGCAGGACGTGGGAACAAATATACTCCCTCCTTTGGCATATCAAATAAAACACATCTCCCAAGCTTGCTAAAATATTTCAGTGCTCGTAAGGCCTCTTCATGTCGCTCTTCCTTTTTTGTACTAAAGGCTGGAAACCCATCTGCACATTTGAATATCTCTTGTGTGTTCCAAACAACGGTGCTCATCCTTTCAGCATTCATTTCAGCACTCTTCCGTTCTACTTCTTCCACGAAAGCTATCCACCGAAGTGGTATTTCCAGTCGTGAAGCCACGATATCGTCCGACAACCGTTTGATTAATTTTTCTAGTTCTTCTATGCCAGACTCTCCAGGATCTTCCTTAGCAGTTCTGTTTTCCACAGCGATGAAAGGAATGGCGCGACCTTCGCCGTTCTCTGCTTCAGGTTTGTCACGCACCCATGTGTCATACACTGCTTCCCCAACTTCGTCCAGCAAGCCCTCACGTAGAACCTTCTCAGCCTCCCCCAAGTCCCCGCAACTATCCTTGTATGTACCAACAATAATCGGTCGCACAGATTCGGAATCCGGTACCAGTGCATGTACAAGTTGCATCCACCGACATAATTCCCTCACTTCTTCGACTCGAGTTGAAATGTTCCATAGATTCTTCAAATTAACTACAAACACAAACAAGCTCCCATTTTTAACGAACAAGGCATGTGCCATCACATATTGTGACTGTCCAGCCAGATCCCAGCATTGCACAAGTGTTCCGTCTATCTTCTTCAGAGTGGATGAGTTTTCCAAATAATTTCGAACCCGAGCTAGATGGGGATCAATTGTTGTCTTTGGCGGTTGAAAAGTGTTTCCAATTTGAGGAGCCAGATTAATAGACGATGTTGTTCGTTGTGGGGTCCTTTGGTCATTTATTGTTGCATGTCCGCTCTTTGAATATGCATGAAGAATGCTTAGAGCTGGGTCCTGATTCGTCTTCTCGACAGTTGCTGTTTGGGCTTTGACACTCGGGTTTCGAATAACCGTAACCGGAGATGATGTTGCTTGTCGTGATAGGATAGCGTTCAGCGAGTCCTGACTGAACGCAAGCTCGTCGCCGTCCTCTTCGCTCATATTTCGACTTCCTAGAAGCACTTGTATCCTAGAGAGTGCAGCTAGCTCTGTTTGGTTATACTCAGAAACGAATGGCAACCCCCGAAGACTGCGGACAAGTGAGGTCTTTCCTCTTGCTCCACCACCTAAAACCATCAAAAAGATTTGCGACTGTTTTGCTTTTGCTTCCTTGAGCTTTTTCTCGACGTACTCTCGCGAGTCCTGGAAATCAACACGCTGAAGCATGTCTGTTATGTCTTTCGAATGCTGCTGCGCACGGGAGCGCAATCGAGTAGCACCTGAGACATCCAGAGGGACTTCCTCATGTCCATGTGTCGGCATGTCTGCAAGAAGTTTCACAGCTGGTTTGTAAAGGTCGTCGCGTACAGCCTCAGTTAGGAGCGCCTTCGCACGGACCCAGTCGCAAAATACGCCTGACTCGGCGGACATCAATACACGAGCAAGTAAAAATTTGTACCTCGGCAGTGGACAGATAGAGATCGCTTCCTCTAGTAGCTTTATGGCTCGCGATATCTCGGCCCCATCGTTCCTTATGTCATGTCCGCGCCATAAAAGCAATGCCAAGTTTGCCCTCGCTTTGTCACATTGCTTAGATATGTCAATTGCTCGTTGGAGGAGTTCGCGTCCCTGTTTGCGCAGTTGCGGACCGGAAAAAGATGGCGACGGTTCAGTGAAGTACATCACAGAGATATTGTTGAGAGTGTTGGATACCAGCACTCGGTCATAGGGAAAGTTATTCTCTAGGACAAATAAGATGGCATTGCGGAGATATTCAGCAACTTCACTACCGTGATCATTCATCGTATTGATCATAGTGGTAGTGAAGTCTTTCAAGCCGTCCGCCCGAAAATCTGTGGAAAAAATCTGAGCATCCCGGTGACGCTGTGAAATGACGGAAAAAGTATGGGTGAGCGTATTGTAGGATTTTGGAATGGCAGAGTGGACAAGACGGTGAACTGGGTCCCTTTTTCGAAGAAGTAGAGGAACAGCTTCAGATCTGGAGGGCCATGGTTTCTGCTGCCACCGATGGTCCCAAAAGGAAATCTTCATCCGCTCTGCTTCCTGACGTACAAAATCATGGGCAAGATCATGTAGACGTATCCCTAGTATTTGTGATGGACGGGTAAGGGTAGTCTTACATTCAATGGAAACCAACCCCACACGATCCATCTCCTTTGCATATTCTTCCGCCACCTTATCGTCAGCTGCTTCCCACAGATCTACTAACACTTTCAGAGAGATCACATCCTGTTTCTCCGTAGCACACAGGGCAGCGTACATCTTTTGAAATGATACACGTCCTGCATGAGCATCAGAGTCCAGAATTTGCAAAGCCGTACGAAGCGCTCCGTAGAGCGATCCGTAGCCGTACTTTGGTTCCCGTCGACCTACTACTCCGCTCTCTTTGATCTCTCCTCTGTCTTCGATCTCCTTCATGTATGCTGTCCATAACTCTGGTACGTCCCCAACACGTTTCCCTCGCCTATGTCTAATACTCACTCCTGCAACATTCAGAGCGATCGGCAGTCCACCGCACAGGTCAAGAACCTTGTCGAAAGCATCTCTTGATGTCGGGTGCTCTACTTCAGACGCCTTTGCACCGCTCGCATGAATAAGCATCTCCCTAGCAACCTCCCCTCTCCGCTCCCTTGGACTAAACTCGACTGGTTCGCCTAGATATCTAAGGTTTGCGTCTCGCGTAGAGTACAGCACCCTGCTCATTGGCACACCATCGCTCACAGCAGTGCCGGCCAGGCCAGAGAGCTTCTGATGAATGCTGCTATCGATGCTGATGTTGGCCCATACATCATCAAATATGAACAGACACGAGCGGTTCGCAAACCAAATTTTCACCCCGGCTAGAACTACGTCCAGCTCGTCCTCATTGGACAAGTTGTCCGCCGCTTTACGTCCCCCAGATACCTTAACCGCATTACAAAGTTTCTGTTTCAACTCCCATACCCCCGCATCCATCCCTAGTGAGAAAAAGTGTATTCCGTCTGGAAAGCGCTGCACAACGTCTTTATCATGTGCAATTGCTCGTAGTGCACACGTTTTTCCGACTCCACCTGGCCCAAGCACCGTCGTCCCCATGAGCGGAGTGCTTTCATTACTCAAGACAGCAGCTTTAAGCCGCATCTCCACTGTATCAGGAGCATCTCTGCCGTGGTCTGAGTCCAAGTCAATGTACACGGACGGAGGGTTGCGAATCACGGCAAAGCTAGGAATGAACACATCCGATACCGCTCCAGTATTATTGGATAGTTCAGTCCCTATCTTATCCATAGAAGCAAGGAGCTCTTTGGCCTTTGTTTTGCGCTCCCTTAATATGTTTCGAATTTGAGTGTCAGATCTGAATACATTTAAAATGCGCTTTGGATTCTCCTTTTCATGTTCAAGGTCTTTGGCCAACGTTGAGAGGTACATTGAAACCTCGTCAATCTCTATCTGCACTTGATGTCTGCGAGACGTTTGAAGGTCATCAATGGGGAGATTCTTCACTAACGTCATTAACTCACTGAGTTTGATATAGTCTTCGAGTAACTCGGGGTCCAAGCTTCGGAAGGGCTTGTAGGCTTGGCGCCTACTCGTGATATAACGAATAGCCCCGATTATATTTCCTACAAGCCCAATCGGAGTAAGCAATGATAATGGCTCCATGAAGGTTGACGAACCAAAGTTGAGGCAGCAGTGCAAGTGTGTAGTTGTGGAGTGCGAACCGGAACACAATAGTGTTTGGCGTATGCAAGTAGCACGCGGCTTAGCGGGATGTTGTATTCCCCTAACAGAAGTCAAAGCGAGCGAAAGTTAGCATGTGGGTGGGCGAGTGACTCACATGTGTTGGAGAAAGGCTCCATGAGCATATGCACTCACGGACAGGAGAAAGTGGAATGTCTGTTGTGGGGGAGATTTGGGGTACCCTTCTCACTGGCTCAATGTGGGACGCATAGGATGTTATGATAAAATATGCGAATGCAGTCCGTATTCGGGGAAAATTGCCTTTATTTAGCAAACAAATTTGCTTTCCAAAGTGTGGCAGGGTCCATGCTGTCTTAAAGGAGGGCCTGAGGCCCTCCTTTAAGACAGCATGGACGGGCATGTTTGGACATGTATGGACGTCAGCGTGCACCTGATTGGTCCATTTAATACTTTTCTTAACAGTATGATGGCGCACAAAGTTAAAATAATGGAATCTGTCACTACCAACGTGCCATACGAGAGCACACCATTGGCTGTCGCCTACCGCATAAGTGCGATTGAATTCACTCTTGATCCAATTTAGCATACATTAAAATTCAATTTAATCATTTTATTGACGTCCCTGAATGCCAGTACACGGGGATCGCGATATAGTGCCTCCCTCTGTCAGTGGGCCGAAAACGGCACTATATCAAACCAGGCACTGTAAGATAATGAGATTTGCGGCTTTTTTGCAGCCACTTCCTTGCATCACTGCTCAGAAAGACCGTTCGCAAGACGCCATCACTCATACTTTGCATCTTCACTACAGACTCAAGTCTAATCAAGCATTTATGTCATTAGTAGCTTCCGAGCCGTCGCATTGACTTCCTCCATTTTTGCAGCAATAAATGCCAGCCTACACTTTTGCAGATGTCCAATTGCATCATCGACCCTGCCTTTTTCCGCCATAGTCTCTATTCTAGTAAGCAACTGCATAATATCTTTCCGCGGCGGCAGCGGCTCTCGGGCAGTACGTCCATCCAACTGCCTCTCTGGAGACCCTTAGTTTTTGGCTCAAAATTCGCGCCACCCGCAAAAGGGTATCGGAGCTGGCACTAACAAAGATGGCACTCTATCGCGACCCCCCTGTACACTTGAAAAAGGCGGGAGGCTGGCAATCGGAGGAGATGCGATTCGTCTCCCGACAGAACCAAACCAAGACCCAAAAAAGACATCCTTTCTACCCTCTTCCCTATCGATATCCCGGTATGATGCACCCCTTGAGCCAATTTACGGATCACGGCGCGCTGACACAATACATTAAATTATTGGACATGTAATATTTTGAAAATCGCAAACATATACATCCAAACATGGCTGTTCATGCTGTCTTAAAGGAGGCCCTCAGTGGGACGACGGCAGACGACGTGTGTTGCACGCTTCATCTGTAATGGGAGAGTCCCTACAAAGCCGACGCTGCCGTGTGCTTTCGAATCCTCAACAACTCGCCTTCCTCAATATGCATCCGCTGTTCTCGGGCTCTTGGCCATCGCGAGATTGGCAAGTCGTCGCTAACTATGTCGTCGAAACGCGACACGGCTGACTGCGCTTTCAGATGTTTCTGAGGGTCAATGTTTTCTTTGTTTGAAGTATCATTCTCTACATTATCCTCCTGAATGTGAAAACCGTCGGCCACGGGCGATTTTAGAATAGTCCACCCATCCAAGCGAGCACGAACGGACTTCAAATTGCCAACTGTCAAGAGGGCCGCTGAGTTTCCTGTTGCGAGGAATTGTCTCCTAGATTTCGTAGGTGTGCGGTTTTTTGGCAGGCATATATTCTTTGTTAGAATGTTACCCAAGACATACTCCCTATTGAGAGCGACAGAAACCTCGGCTAAAGCATGAGGAGCAGAAAACTGACCGTCTGTAAGAGCATGAATATTTTTCATCAAACGAATTGCTGAAATTCGTGGCGAGATAGTGCTGCCGTCTGCGTCATGAAGCATCGCCAACCCCATCCCAGAAGATTCCCTTTGGTTTCTGTTCAATTTTCGAGTGCTGCTGTCATCCAAAAATGACATGAAGCGAAAATCCATGGGCCAGAGCCCAGCTTCCCGAAACAAGGCTCTGGCGATATCTGAGGTTAGAGCTTTGTGACCAGCGACCGCCAGCTTAATTTTCACAGCCGTGTTTGCCCATGAGAAATGGCTCATATTCAGCAATAAATCCCTTGTACTACGTATTTCTTGTTAGAAAACTTCGTTAGTCTTTTGATCGCATGGTTGTAGCATATGGGTCGTGTTTGCCGGGAGCTAACGGACGTCAATCCAACCTTGTCTACATCAAACCTATCTCGAGCGGCAACCAAAAAGCGGTCTACAATCAGCGACTCCTCCGCTGAATGGAGTATATTTCGTCTTCCCCGCGGGAACCGTTCAGGATCCATGAGTCGTTCCAGTGCTGCATGATCGGATGTCTTATGACTTTGACTTATTGGAAATGCAGTGCCTCGAGAGACGCCAGACATTGTCGCGACCTTCCGAATTGAATGGCCTTGCTGCACAAGTTCTAACGCCTTATTCCTTCTGCTGCGCTCCACCTTTCTCCCTTCTTGTCGCCGTCGGTGCCTTTGCGTTTCAGCACGCATAGATGGAGGCATCGGAAAGGGATAGAAGGAGACCCTGGTGATTGAGACGCGCAAAGAGGCGATCTGACTAACTATGAGGTCGGTGGGCTGATTGCAGTTGGCACGATCATATGCCAGAACATATCCAGCGCGGCTACACGATAATTTCAGTGTCCCAATTTGAGCCGTGTCACAAATTGAGCCAGTGAGAAGGGTACTGTACAAATTGGTACCCCCCGAAGTTGTACACTTTATGAAAATAAACGAAAAATCAGCTTCCAAACATCTGCCGAAGCCGATTTTCACATGGCTAAACAGAGCACGGGTCCCCGAATCATGTGCTGTAAACGGCGAATCGCCTCATTTACAGCAAACGCGGTCGCCTCTCGTGAGAGCGTCACCTCAAACAAGGCATTTCTGCAAAAACGGATACCAAACTTGAACACTACAGTAATTGGGCAATTCAAATTGGACTTGCAAATTTTTATCGTCAGAAAAACATTTCAAGCGCAGGTGGATGCAGGCCACCTCCATTGCTATCGAAATGGATTAACCTGACGTCATTTCTCATTTGCTATCAAAGACGTTGGCTCATAGACACTGGAAAGATTCAAGACCAAGTTGCTCCTCTACAGTACCTTCCTTGCTCTAGCTTCGGCCTTCTTCTTCTGACAGACGATGCCCTTCGCTACTTGACGACGAACTGCCATGGGACGTGGGGCTAAATCACGGAGGCCATACGCATTGACACGCAGAGCCAGAGCCTGTTTCTCAGTTCTCAAACGTTTCTTCATTGTCTTTGCATATACCACGGTCTAACGTTCGACCTTCACCGCATTCTTTTTTTCCTTTACTGCCCTTCGCGCACTGTCTAGGATATTTTTCTCCTTGGCTTTCTGCAGCGCCGCCCCAGATGTCAAACATAAACCAACTGCAGTGTCCAAGAAACCGTGACGTAATACCACCGGCTGCAATCCTATGCCGTCTCTTTGTAATTGTCGTTTCTTATCAATCATTTTCGATATATCCTCAACGCTGATTAGCTTACTATGTTCCTCATAAGACATTGGGCGCAATACGTTCAATAAAGGTCGCCAGTCTAACGGATAGATACCCGATTTCCCACATGCCTTCTCAATATTGCTTCTTGTAAAGGCCATTGTGTAGGCTTTCGTTACCAGCTTCAAAAAATCAAATGCGTCATAGACGTTACTGTTATCGGCAGATGACAGTCTCTCAACCAGATTACGCAAGTGCATCTTGAAAGGTCCGAACACGCCGACATCTAAGGGCTGTGTCACTCCACTGGTGTGCGATGGTAATGCATAGGCAATAATACCAGCTCTGTCAAACATATCCAACACACGACACGTCATATGACTGCGATATCCATCCATAAGTGGGAGCATTTTTTGACCATTTCTTGTGCGCTCAAAGTTGTCTTTCACGAAAAATGTTGCACATTCCATGAAGCTGCTGGAGTCAACTCCGGCGATATGTTCACGTGTGGTAATTAAACTGCCATTAGGAAGGCAATCGGCAATAGTTTCAACGCATTCTCCATCTCCGTAATTCGATACTCTAAAGTTTAGAGACTTGCCATTTACAACGAAAAGGGGTCGCCCCAAACACCCACTGGCGAATATAACAGGCATCATTGTAATACGCTCAATGTTTCGGAATGCTGGAGACCTCTGAACCGCAAAAGATGACCTTGTGACGAAATGTTTGCGCTTGTCAGACTTTAGACAGTCTTTGTTTGGGGACATGCCCGTTTCGTCCAAATTTGCGATGTGAAATGAGTCTATTGTAGTGCAATGTGCCTGGCAGGCCGCGAACACAGTCCGACGGTCAAACAAAAAGACGTAAAACAACAACAGCAACAACCACTGCCGATGACACGCGCTACGGAGCGCTCGAGACTCCCTTTCCCCTTGTGTGGGCTTGCGGCCCACGGTAGCTCAACTCCGACGGGAGGTTAAGGAAAGATGCCCGGCCCGGGAGGAAAATGGTGGTAGAGACTTGCGAAGACTTGAGTGCTCGGCGAGTGCGGTTTGGTCTTGTCTACACGTAGCCGCGGTTCGCTGGGTTGTGAGGCCAATGCTCGACGAGCGTCTTCAGCACCTTGGGTATAATTGAAGGTCTTCGACGGGGGCTGGCTCGGCACTACCCGACGGGATCGTAACCGTGTAGCCGCGCTGCTACCGACGTGTTGCCCGATGGCTAAAAACACCCTCACCAGCGCGATCGCAATCGCGATAGGTGGTACCAACTCTGTCTTGTACAGTAAGACCTTCGACGGAGGCGTCGTTGCAACAGCCTCCCGACGGAACTTGAAACAGTAGCAGCGCTACACAACGTGTTGCCCGATGGCTCAAACACCTACACCAGATCGGTCGCAACCAACTCCAGTGGAACCAACACAATTAGGGGAAAATAGAGATAGAGGTAGAAATGAATAGGGAAATAAAGGAAAAAGAAAAAGGGAACCCCCGAGCGCAAAGGATGCCGTAGGCTTAGGTAAAAGGGAGCGTCTTGGTAGAGACGGATTTCGACCAAGACGACATTCAACTCTGGCAACTCGGGTTACCTTTACTGACTTGGTGGTCAGAGGGCTAAGGTATATATCGCCCCGCCGGAGTCACTACAGTAGCTCGCGGCGCTAGATCCTAGATCTAATCTAGTGTCAGCAAAATTAATGCCAACTAATTAACTAAATAAAATAAAATAATTAAAAATCAAAACTGTGCAATTATTCACACGTGTGTCCCCCAGCCCGGACTACTTTTCATATCCAAATATTTTCCTTTCTTTTCACCCCCCTTTCCAGGTGCGTATTGCACTACATCTATACTGTTGTCCTGGATGATTTTCTTGATGGAGAAAAATGATTTGTCAAAGTTTCGGCGTTGCAGGCTCTCCAACGAATCTCCTGTTCCTTAGTCGTACGGCGAAAGCTGATGTCATCTTGATGGCGACTCAAAAAGTTTCGCAAAAACGCCTTGCCGGGGCGATTGTTTATGAAGGAAGCGTGTTTTGGCGGTGCTGAGGCAAAGCGTTTACTACCATTTGAACAGCATCTTTGATGTCTTCGCGGTTTAGCCGGAAACCCCGGCCTGGATAACGCTGAATTAGATCAACCATGATCTTTTCTTCGGAGTTGGTGGGGTATGAACGGGATCGTGGTGGGTCGTCTTTGTGTTGCAACTGATATTGGAAAGTGGAAAGAGGCAGACCCGCAATTAATGCAGCACGACGGCGGGATACATAGTGCTTTTCAGTAGCTACAATGGCCATTTGAAAGCATTTCTCAGCTTTAGAAAGTCTCTTAGCTCTGGCCATGAAGACTGGCGAATGTCGATGATTTTCAGTCTCGGGATTTGTGTCAAGTCCAGATTGCATGCTGGGGACTCAATTTGCATTTGTAAACAACGCGGCAATGGGCACTGGGGTTATCGAGGGTGGCAAATTCGAATATGTGCTTTAGAGTGGGCTGTTTGCATTTCCCGCCATGTTACAAAGGATTTCGCATGCGTCATGGAGAGTAATGCAGTATTTATTGATCAAGTTTCGTTTTTCTGGATACATATTTCATATTTTGATTTTGTTCAAGTGGTGGTGGTACTGTTCAAGAATGGGTGGACCCTTCTTGTACAGGGTACAATACCCAGGAGTGGCCCCAGCCCCAGGACCAAAGCCTCAAAAAGGTGATTTTATTGGTTTACGTGTACCCCAGGTGTACACGTGGATAATCTCCCTTTGAAGAGCAGTGGTCCTGTGGAGTGGATGATGATGGCGGCCCCTCTATAAGAGAAATGGGCGCGCCGCGACACACCGCAATGGGGGCAGAACACAACAACACCCCCGACCGACCCCCCATTGCAATAAACTTTTCTCTGTTCTGCTTTCCCTTTCCAGACATCTCGCTCCCCTACACGCGCGGCCTTCCTTCTTCCCCCCTCTTTCGCCGCCAACATCATGTTGGCGGTAGTACCATGATGGTACTCTTGTGGAGGGGTGGCAAAGAAGACGGCTCTCTGTCATAGTTTGACGGGTCGAAACCGGCCGACGCCCACAAGTTCTTCTTCGTGTTCGAAAATGTTGCCACCTCTCGTAAATCGGACGAAGACAGGGCATCTGAACTCCTTCGCTACCTGGATGGAGATGCATTCGACTTCTTTTATCAAATCTTTGTCAAGGACGGAGATATCAGTGCAGATGGCTCCGACTACCAGAAGGTCAAGAAGGACTTGGTCGAGCGGTTCGCCCCCGTTGAATCACCTGAAGATGTGATTCGGGATACGATGGCCGCTCGCCTATCTTTCGGAGATCTCAGTAGGTCTCTTCGAAACTCAGACCGTCTCTACGAGAAGGCGGGATTCAACGACGATGCGAAGTTCGGACTGCTTCGCAACGCCGTGATGCATCTCTAGTTGGCCCAGTTTGCTATCTATGGAGGTGCGTGTAGTGCAGTGCACCTCCACACTGCCAACGAGGGCCTAAATCTCGCTGTAGAAAGCGCAACGCAAGTCACAGTCACCACCAGGGTGTTCGAGTCCCTCTGTCCGGGTTACTCAGGGGAGTCGACGTGGTACCGCGGGTAGATCGCGGCGTGCACGTAGGGGTGCACTCCAGCGGGAGTGCGCAAGAAGTAGTAAACGACAAGAAGAAGAAAGAAGAACGAAGAAGAAAGATACTGTAGAAATGCAGAAAATAGGGGAAAAAGTAAAGGAAAAACAATGAAAAGGATGACGACGAAAGGTGCAGGTACTAGACTTAGCCAACTAGATAGCACCGTAGAGGGACCTACCAGAGATGGGGTCCGATCACCTGGGCATCAGTGATGCCTCTTTACTGTAGCGCCTTTCGACACTCGACCAATATAGGCCGAGCGCCGTCGT